ATATAAGATTGATTTACTATTCGCGAGATCTTGTGTAAGAGCTGTCAGTTTAGAGGTGTCATTTAAACCGACTGTGTTGAGAGTTGAAATATTTAGAAGGTTTTTGATAGGTGAGGTTTGTTTTTTTGATAGGGGGTTTTGATTTGTATTTGTTTATAGGGAATGAATAGAGTTAGGCAGACTTATCATTTTAACAGATGAAGGGTACAAGATTAAACCGGGCTCCGGTAGATCTTCGGGAGTGATGTAGTTATCAAGAAGCCTTTCAAAGGCATATTTTTTGTGCAGTTGGGCTATTGTTGCAGGTAGGTTCTCATCATCTTTTAGTGGGAATCTGACTTCTGAGAGGTTTTCTTCACACATTTTGTTAAGTTCCTCTATAGAAGATAGAGGAGGCTTAGGAGCTTGAAACCAGTCCTCGGGAATTGTGCAAAATCCATATTTCTTGTGCAATTTGTGAATAATTGCTAAGAAATCTTTGATTCCAATAGATATGTTTAAATCAGTGATTTTGGTCAGAAGTTTTTCTTTATCAGTTTGTGATATTGAAAAGTCTACCCATTGGGGACCCAGGGGCAAGTTGAATTTGAAGTCTCTTTGTAGACATTTTATAAGGATCTCTGCACTTTCTTTAGATTGCACTGGAAGTGCCATATTCAGTTCATCTAGCAATGGGTTAGGAAAGGAAGGGAGTGGTCTTTTAAACTTATAGTAATCGAGTGGCAAAGTTTTGAGGCTATATTCTTTTCTTAAGATTCTGATCAACTCTTTTGTATCCATTGTAAGTGAGTCATGTGAGAAGTAGGTTGCTAAGTGTGCAGGTAGCAATTTGTATAAGGCTGGAAGAGGGATTTTGAGTGATGGTAAGTTAAAGAATAACTTGGGGAGTTTTGCAGGAACTTCATAGTATCTGGCCAGTTCTTTTATTCTTGATCCGAGGTCTTTGAAATCTTTTCTCTTGATGATGGGAAACAAGTAATTAGTTTCTTCATTCAGATCTTTTGGGTCTTCTGGTAGCTCTGAGAATTTGAAGAAATATGAATCTGGAAGTTGGGAAAACTTGTAATATACCCTGAGAATTGATACAATTGGAAAAAGAGATGATTTTTTCTTGATTGGAAGTGGGCATAGGAGTTTTATAATTATATTAGAGAGGATCTGATCTGGCATGGTTGATAGGTCTGGAAGCAATTCGTACAATATTTCCTTAATAAGATCTAATAATTCAATATAGTCAACGTAATTGTTATTGTCTCTCAGTAAATAGTTGCATCTGTATTCCAAGATCTGTGCTATTTCAAAGAATCTGAATTTGTTGAGATCAGTAAACCTTAAGTAGGCTACAAAAAGTGATGAGTTTAATATCAATCTGATTTTCCTTTTGATTCTTTTGCTAATGTAGTTGATGTCATTGATTTTTTTGTAGTTCTCGTAGGCTTTTGTTTCCAGTGCCTTATATTCAATTTGGTGATTGCCTTTCATTAATTTGTTTTTGATAAATGATCTGAAGAAGGTTCTGTCTCTCAGGAGGATTTTGATGAAGATTGCAAAGTGAGGCTCTTGAGTAATTGATCCTTTTGGAGTGGTTTTGATATTCTTGAACAACTCAGCTACTTTCTTTGCGTTTGTACGGCAGGCTGACAGTTGTGATGCTAAGTCTATTATCATATCATGTTCGCTGACGAATGGTTCACCTGGATTGGCTGCTTGAGTTTTATAGAGACCATCTATTGATTGGTGGAAGTTTGGGTCACTTTCCAAGAGAATTGCAGTTATTCTATTCTTTTTGGCACTTGGGATGATGTCACTTGTAAACTTGTTGATGAGTTTTCAATTGAAAAAGACTGGTGGGAGCTTGCAAGATCTCCGATTAAAAGTTTCTCATGTGACCAGTCTGTCTCATTTGGAAGTTCATCTCTGCTTGTTTGGTCGAAGGTTTATGTTTGCTGGGCCACTTCAATAAGAGGTATATTTCCTTGTATGTTGGCTAGCTCTTCCTGCACCTGATGGTCAAATTCTGCTAGGGAGCTTGAATTTCCTATAGAAATTGGTTGGTCCAGTGATACCATTGATATGTCATTGTCAGAACAAGGGCTGGTTGATTTGATTGTACTATCAGATTTGTCATAATTGTTATTCATGGTAACTGCAATGTGGTGATCATTCACTTGCATCATGTCACTTGTGCTTTGGAGGTCATTTGGGATTGGTGCCACGTTACTTGATGCGCTGACTGCATTTGTGCTTTCTGGAGTTGCAGAGGTTGCATAAGATGCAGGGGTTGCGTTACTAATAGGTGCTGAATTGGAAATGTTTGTGATCTGTTGATCAATAGGTGGGGGTAAGCTGCTTGGGGTTTTTTTTGGGATTTGAGAGCTTGTAGTTTTTTTGTTGGGAACTGGGGGAGAGTAGAAAGTTGAGTTTTCAAGGTTGTTATCCTGAACTGGTGTATTGGGAGGTGAATGAGATGGTGCATTGTAAATCTTCTCGAGATTAAACTTGTTTCTGCTGTTGGTTATATTGATTTGATTCCAAGAGAGGTGGAGAGTATAATTGAGGTTATTGTCTAGGACTTTTCTTGAGCAAGATTATTTCTCTCCTGATAAAGGAAGAAATCATTGAGATTGGTTTGGGTATTGCTTTTTTTATTATTGATGGATAGGGTGGCTTGTGTGTATGAGAGTGATGAAGAACTGGAGCTAGTTGTTACTTGCTTGAAACTAACAAACACTGTATTACTAAAGAAGGGTTATTAGTGTTTTTTGGATTTAGTAAGGGTACTATTTAGTATTTGAGGAAGTCAATTAAGGGAGAAATAGAGATATTTTGTGCTGGTTCAGTAATTTGTATGTTGCTTGAGTTAGATTCCTTGTATACTATAGAAAATAAACAGTCAATTGGGTTAATTATGATGATGTCCAGGAGGATATGAAGTGGATTTGGGGGTTTTCCCTTGGGAGAAGGACTTCCAAGAACATTTGTTGTTTTTTTTCTCCTTTGAATTTTGCTTGTTTCTAAAAAAGGAAATTTTTTGTAGAAAAGAGATTTATAAGAAAGAGTTTATAATTTTTATATATTGTTTTTTATTAATTAATGAAAATTAAATTATTTATTTATATGAACAATTTATTAACTATTGCTAATTAACTGATACTATTCATTCTATTTTATCAAGCTATTAACTTATACTTTGTGAGTATATCAATATTCTGGTTTATGTTTATATATAATTTTAATTTTTTGACATATTAATTATTATTAGATTTCCTATCATATTTACAATATCTATGTAGCTCACTTAGTTATAAGATTTGTAATTTATGCTTTAAGAGTTGTTTTTATAATTGGTATATACTATCAAATCTGAAAGTTAAATAACAAAATAAAACATGATTTTCAAATCTTTCAGTAGATACTTAATAGGCTTTTAATTAGTTTAAGTTATCAAATTTAGAAGAATATATGTCAAGCAAAGCACAACTCCTGTAAAGTTGCTTAGTATTATCTATACATTCATATTTTTATAATAATTTTTTTCAAAGTAACTTAATTCAATTAACTTTATTTTTAATATAAAGTCTGTTATATTAGAAAAAAATATAGGCTTATAATGAAGTTTAAACCAAAAGCCTTTTCTTAAGCAACCTTCTTTGCTTTAACATGTTTTTTTAGCTTGTGATTGTTAAGAAGATCAGGAATCCTATTTTTATATAGCCTAACTGAATTTGTAAGAGATTTTTGGCTAATTGAATATAATATTTATTGGAAGTTGATTAATCAATTTCAATATATGTTTTATTTTAAACAATATTAAATAAATTAATATAAACAATTAAATATTATTGTTTCAGTTGACTTTTATAATTCTATTCTAATATTGAAATCAAAAGATAAAAATATATAAAAATTGAATTAAAAAAAATAAAGAATAATATTACTTAATTAAAAAAAATCAAAAAATATATTACAAGAATTCAAAGTTTTATTATTATAATACTAGTTTTTCTTTTTTCAAGCTGGAGAAAAATATACTGTAACTTTTTATATATTTTGATTAGTTATAAATTATTTTTAATTAGTTATTTATATATAATTTATCTGTTTATACAATACAAAGAATTGAGTAAAGAATTGTTTTGTTACACTTTGAATAATCAACTACAATAGACTGCAGAAGATACAAGTTTATTGACTATAATTATTTTCTATGTTTGTTAACTAGAGCCACGACGCGTACAATAATCTATCTCAAACTATTTTAACTTTCTGATTCATGATCTGCCATGTCACGTGATCCGAGACTATCCCAGCTAAGTATCGTTTTCACGATATATTGAATAAATACGCTATTTTCGTTAGTTGTTCACGAATGAATATATTCTATAAAATAACTGCTTTAAAACTTGATTGCTTATAAGAAAAAATAATACGATGGGTATGCATTAATTTTGAATCACGTTAGATCATCTTTTGATGTTTATTGGCATTGGAATTCTCGAAAATTCAAAGTACAACTTTAAATTGAGGTTATTACAGCCTGAAAATTAAAAACTCAAAAGCTCAAGATCGGTTGCAGGAATGATAGAAAACACGAAAAAGAAGTTACAAATTAAAGAATCATGTTACGTAAAGCGCGGGTAGTTTGCAAGAAATATATGAAACAACTTTTTGGTTTCAGGATTTCATGCATAGGGTAAAGAGGAAATGAAAACGCAACACGAAATAAGTTGATAAAGAATGTAATGATAGAAGTGTAAAAGTAAAAGAATGAATGTTTATACGTTGGTATGTACTACGAATTCACAATATTTATGAATAAGAAAAGGTCATATTTGTACGTGCAAATTATTGAAGCATCCTTTCGTTTAGAAGTCGCCGCCACCTGTAATAACATGAAGTGTGATTACGATGCTTCAGTCCTTTCGCAATCTCCTTCCAAGGGGGTTTAATACTGTTAAGGACGGAAAGTATCAAATAATTATCTTCTTCCGAACTCCACCTCATTCTTGCCATACTCCTATGTTGTATGCTTTTAGCTACAGATTGTTTTGGGGATCTAATTAACCTATCTTCGTAAACTTCTTCTTCTTCTTCTTCCTCTTCTTGATGCTCCTCGTATTCTCGCTCGAATTTAACCCCTTTGGAAGGTTTGCGACCTCGTCTTTTCTTAGTCTTATATTGCTGATTCGAAGGCGTCGTCATGAGTTTTTTGCGCTTTGTTGAAGTGGGAGTTGACATTGCCTTTCTTTTTCTGGTATTACGTGCCGGGAGTATCTCTTGAGGAGCTTCCTTGGACATCTTTTCCGCCTGTCTTGCACTACGGCGTGTCCGTTGATGTTCCTCGTTTTCATATTCCTCCTCTACTTCTTCCTCTTTATCCTCATCGACCGGAGGCTTTTTTTTCATTTGGGAGGTAAGCTTTCCACCATGTTTCTTTGCGGCTGATGAAGTGGACGGTATCTGTTGTTCAGGAATGGTTTCACCTGATTCGTATCCTTCATTATCATCATCGTGGATCTCTATGTTTTCTATCGCGGGATTTTGTTGCGCTTCGAAATTCATGATTTGTGATGGTGAGGAGGATTGTTCTGATGGATACTTTGCCGTAAATTGTCGTCGCATCTAGAAGGTAAAGAACAGGAGAGTTAATTTATAAAAAAAAAAGAATAAAGACCGATACTCTCAATACATCCTTAATCACAAATAACTTTTGCATAATTACACAAAATTAAAAAGTAATAATATTTATTTTTAAGAGAATCCCTTACATTATTAATGTCCTGGCTTTCGTCATTAATCATTACAAAAACCTCGTCTTCTTCTGTCTTTACGAAGAATTGTTCATCAGGTTTCATTTTTATTCTGATTTTTAATATATTATTGAAAAAAAAATATGCCAGACGTCACCACAATGAATTTGGGTTTGCGCAATTAAAGAGCCATGAAAAAGAATTCTTTGCTAATTCCGGTTTCAATTTATATTTCGAACAAACCGCAATAATATACACAGGAGTAAAGATGAAAGGCTTAAAAGGCACTAAGATATTGTTCATATTTTTCGGAATAACATTTATAGAGCATCATCAAGGCAAAAATCAAATTAATCATGCTCTTAAAATTTTATAAGCATTCTCATTAATTTGAGAATTCTTTGTCAATCGACTACGCATAGTTTGTTGTCGCTTGGCGCGACTAATTGAGGCAATGTTTATAATATTGACGTACATGGTCATTTACGATGATGCAGGGACATATGTACGGCAATTGTCTACGTGCTGACAATTATCTCCACGTGATTTGAATTAACAATCGTCTTTAATAAACCTAATTAATGATTCATATGCAATTAAATGTCCGTCTTTTTTTTTTTTAATGAGCATGCATATACTACTTCCCTTCACGTTGTTATTGTTATTTCTCCGTGTTAATTTATTTGTTTTCAACATAATACGTTCTTGACTTGGTTTAGAATGCGCACCGTAGATATTAAAAATAATTATATAATATTACGAGTTACATACCATTCTGCGCTTTATTGTACTGCGCGCACCTGAGCAACTAATTATAACGCCACACATCCTTTATGTGACGTCACTTATTTAACTCGTAATGCCCGCGGTACGTGGCATGGTATTGCACGTGTTTTTGAATCTTTATATTATTATAGAGAAAAAATTATACTGCGCAACAGTAATGTTTATCTTGATTTTTAATGTTGGTTGTAATCAAATACATATGATTATACGTAATTGTAAATAATAATAATAATAATAGTAATAATAATAATAATAATAATAATAATAATAATAATAGTTTTATTATTGTATTTATATTCCAGATACAATTTTTTTTTTAAAAAAGGCAAGTTCAATATTTTTTTGGAATCCATTTTTATGGACAACAGGAATTAAACGATATTTATAATTCTGTACTAACTATTATGTCAATTTTTATCAGACTTAATTACGGTATAAGAAATTTTCAATTTCAATTTATATTATGTAAAAGAAGAAAAATTTTATAAAATTTTATTTAAAATTTGAAACAATATAAAAAACCGTTGCTATTTTTTTTCAAAAATTAAATTAAAAAATAAATCAAAGCGTAAAATTTATTATAATATCAAATATACTTATTGATATTTTTCATAAGTAAATTTATGGGATGACTTAATTATAAACCAATTTTTTTTATTTAATAATATTAATGCTTTGAATAAATATGAATCTTTCGATACTATTTACAGTATATAAAGTAAAAACAATATAATTATGTTATTTCCGCTTAGTTTAAGTTATAAATATTCAATTTTAACAATAAAATCACACCTGTTATTATTTAATCATATTTTATAATTTTTAGTATATATAAATTTTTATATAGTCAACTTTTAATAAGAAAAAATTATTTATTGTATAAAAAATTTAAATTTTGTTATAATTAAATAGGATGTTAAAATTAAGGTTTTTTTTTAACAAATTTTCTAAAGTCTAGAATTATAATAACTACAAAAAAAATAATAAATAAAATATTAAATGTTGAATTTTATTATTTTTTAAATTTTTTTAAATAATTAACAATTTGATATTAGAAAAAATAATATAATTTAAAAACCTTAATTTTTTATATTATAATAATAAATTATTAAAAGCAAATTAAAAATTAACAAAGTTCTAGATATTTTATTTTTAATAAAAGTTAAATATCAATATTGTTTGTTATTTTTTTTTAAATTAGTTTTTTTAAAATCAAATAATTTATATATTTATTATAATTGTTTAAATTTATTAGTTTTTTTTAAATAAAATAATTTTATTGTTTATTCTAGCCTTTATATAATATATATTTTATAAAAATAATTAATAAAAGATTTTTTATTATTGAAATTAAAATTTAATTTTAATGATATATATATACAGTGATACCCAAAATTATTTGGAATTTTTTAGAGTAATGATTATTAAACATAATTTCGTAACTACAAAAGGTAAGTGAATTTTTTACATGTGTAATCATACTTTATTTATCTTACAATAACCTGCCCATTTCCACCCTCTCTTGTATATAATGTATTCTGCAAGAAATAATGGTATGAAATGACCTTTTCAACAAAAAACCAGTAGTACAAAGCTATTTGTCTTTTATGAAGTAAAGAAATTCGCTCCGCGAGAGAAATTCAACAGCGTAAGAACATCGGCCTCTCTACAATATATTACAACCTAAAAAAATTAAAAGAGACTGATAATGTGGCACAACGAAGGGGCG